GAGGTTCTGTAGGTCAGTGAGGTTCTGTAGGTCAGTGAGGTTCTGAAAGTCAGTGAGGTTCTGTAGGACTATGCCAGCAGTTTTGTTGCACATCCTGACATCACCGTGAGTTTGTTCCTGTTTCTTCATGTCAGAAGTCCCAACCAACCGATGAAGGTGAAAGTTAAGAGACTCAATAAAACATTCTGATAAAAATACATTCTCTGGTGGGCCTTTTTTTAGAAAGTTAGTTCACATGGGGGTCAAAGGTCAGTTTGTCATCAAGAACAGTTCTCAGATATTTACAGTGATACACCACCTGAACAGCTTCACCGTTGATGACCACAGGAGCTGCAGCTGAAGAGTCTTCTGAAATCAGTTCATTCAACCTTTATTTCTACAGGTTAATCCCACTGAGTCTCTGGGACTCATTTACAAGAAAGACCTGACTTTAACAAAGAGTGATGACAACAACAACAACAACAACAACAACAATAGACAGTCACAAAAGAAGCATGCAGTTTTTTTTGTTTTACAAATTAACATATGGCAACCAAAAGAACAGTCAAAATGAAAAACCTAGTGAAAAAACATCCAGATTGTAAGGTGGTGTAGAAAACTAAAAACAGGAACATGTCTGTGTTGGTTTTTCCATGAACTTATCAGATGTTTGAAGACACTTAGAGAGGTCAAGATCGAGAGCTTCAGATCTTTTTACAAGATATTCCAGGAAACAGGAGCGGAGTAGGAGAAGGTCCTTTTGTCTAGTTCAGTCCTCACTGAGGGAACACTGCAGGTAATGATGTCCTGAGAGCGCACGCTGTAGCTGCACTCACACAGAGACATGTAGGAGGAGATGTATGAAGGCAGCAGACCAGGAAGTGATTTAAAGATGAAAATATACCAGTGAGAGAGTCTGTGTGGAGTTAATGGTGACCAGTTAACCAGTGAATACTGGGTGCAGTGGTGGGTACGATAGTTACAGCCAGTTATGAATCTTAGATGTTAGATAGACATCAATGACCAACTCCTTTGTCTTAAAAACATTTAGCTTTAAAAAGGAAGACACAGCATTCAGTGAAGTCCCCGACCACAGGCCCAGGTCTGGGTCCTCACTGCAGAGAGGGGACAGGATGCCAGAGTCCTCAGCAAACTTTGAGATGTGACGCTGTGGGAACTGACTGCAGCAATCGTTTGTATATAAAATGAATAAAAGGGGTGAAAGAACAGAGCCCTGAGGGGAACCGGTAGAGGACAGAAGAACTTCAGAGATAAACTTGTTGACCTCACCCGTTGAGGCCGAACAGTTAAAAGTCCACAAGCCAACACAAGAGTCCAGAGTCCAGACCATAAGAACATCGTGTTTTCTCTGCTAAAATGTGGGGCTGGAGTTAACAGCGGGTGAAAAGTCAATAAAAAGCTATCATTCTTTATTAGCTTATCAAAGCAGTCCTGTTGAAACACCACTAATGGAACTGCACCCAGTCTGCACAGGAAGTGCCACAGCTAGGTGCACCTGTTGCAGCCATTTGTGCTTGCAAAGTAAATGTCATGCAAACAATCATCCAAGCCCATGGTGCTGGAGCAGTCTGTAAAATCATGTTTACGTGAAGTGATTTAAAAAATGGAGCTGTGTTAAGACGGCAGCGGTAAACTTTGACCTCAGATATTGATTGTTCATAAGTTTTTTACAACGCCTCATTTCCAAATGGTCTAAATATCCCTTTAAGTCAAAGTGCAGGTGTTCTCTATCAGTAACAGAAAAGTGTGGAAGTCTTGGTGTAGGCTAATGGTTAGCCAAACTGGGATCCTTTTAATTTGAACTTCTACCCTTTTCTTCATATTGAGATGTTGAGGCTGAAAACTGGCTCGCTCTTTAACAGACCGTCACTTCAACTGTGATCATTCTTGTATTTAAATAGAAAGAACCACAAAGATAACGTTTAACCATGATGATGGTTTCATTCTATGGTTTCACTGGGAAACTGATTAAATGAGCTGACTGATTAGAAACCTTTATTGGTCATTGCCTGCACGCAGTCTTCTCTGCTTTTTGAATAAAGACTCATAAAGAAAGGCAGAGCTGTACATCGAAACGAGTTTTAGTCTTGTTGAAAAGTTAAACGTAACAGCAGACTGTCAGGATGTGATCTGACATGAGAAGACCACAACTCACAGCACCAAGGACCAGTCTGGAACCAGTCTGGAACCAGTCAGACGGTCTGAGAGGCTTTTTCAGAAGCATTCACAGAATGTTAGTTTGGTCATTTGTGTGCATTTGAAAATAAAGACAATGTATGCTGGCAGGAGTTTGCTTTTATTTGGAGTTGCATGTGGGGGTGGAGGAGTGGCAGGATGGACGGACAGATGAGCATTTAAGGAGGGACTGTTGTGAGAACACCACAGCTGTCGGACCACATCGTTCTCATTACAGCTGTGCCTCAGAATGTAACCTTCTGGTTCCAGCAGAGCACCAGTGTTCCTGTTTTCTCACTCGGAGCAGTCCGAGCTGCACAAAGAGAAGGCACGTGATCTTACTCACTTCAGTTTATTCATACGTTCACAAGTCTTTTAAGGTTCTGGACAACAAACAGCTTCAAGTTCAAATCATAATCATTGTATCCAGGACTTCACAAAATCAGGGGGAGTAGTGGTGCAGAGGTTGTAGAGGGGGGGCCAGTGATCGGAAGGTTGCCGGTTCAACTCCTCATCAAAATGTGGGTGGGAAAGGTGAAGCACCCACACCTGCCTCCACTCTCGTTTGCCCCACTCTGGGCCCTTGAGCAAGGCCCTTAACCCCCACCATCTGCTCCTGTGGGTGCCCTAGATGCAGCTCTGCTCCACACAGAGGCTGTTGTAGCTCGGCGTCTGCGGTTGATCAGGAGTTGTCAAGTCTTGGTGTGAGTTAGTTCTCTGTGGTGACGCTGAAGAAGGAGCAGCTGAAAGAAGAAAAATTTCACTAAATGGGGGGCACAGATAGAGCTGCCACCTCTCAGTGGGAAGGCCGCCGGCTCAAATCCTGGCTGGGGGGCCCGTCTGGATGGAGTTTCATATTCTCTACATGCATGCGTGGCTTTTCTTCAAGTACAGACCAGAAACATGCGTGTTAGACCGACTGGTAACATTTGAATTCAGTTTATTATAAAGATCCAAGTCAAAACACAAGTCGTCTCAGGGACCAGACAAAACATTCATATATAAAATAATAATTTAACAGAAACATTCATATATAAAATAATAATTTAACAGAAACATCCATATCTAAAATTATAATTGAACAGAAACATTCATATATAAAATAATAATTTAACATAAACATTCATATATAAAATTATAATTTAACAGAAATATTCATGTAAAAAATAATAATTTAACAGAAACATTCATATATAAAATAATAATGTAACAGAAACATTCATCTATAAAATAATAATT